TCTGCCCCTTCTCTGGCGCCCACCCTATAATTATATGAAAGGGCGTCTAGCGTCAAGATAGGTCGGCTAGGGGGGGACACAACCGGGACACCATCGTCATTAAAAGTATATTATCCTTGGCGATCGCCAATGCTTGGGGGTCCGAGGGTCGCCGTTTTGCTCGCGCCAGGGGCACAGCTACGGTCCCGAAAAAAGACCAAGATCCATATTCTGGACAAAATCCGGTGCGCCAATGCGGGCTTTCCCCCTTCCCGGCTGTATGGATAAGTTGCCCACCCACCCCCCAAGAACCCGAAGTGCCAAGCAGGGGCGCGGCGACCAATTACCATCGGTCGGGTGTGAAAGACAGAAAGATAGAGAGAGGTGGTGAAAGAGGATGTAGCATAAAAGAGACGGCCACCTCGCCTAGGGCCGCGCAACTAGCCAATCTATCGGTGCCGGGAGGCAATATACGGCAACGCCCTATAGACTATCGGTAATAACCCGCCCCAATCAAGAGCGGAATATTTCCCAGCGACCGGACTCCGGTACTGTGGTGGGGGAATCAGGCACACGCACAGGGACCTCCCTCCACTCCGAGCGACCTTAATCAAGCTGGGCCATCTTTGATATGCGACAGTCCAGCGCTTCCATATTCGACCTTGCACGCAATCTACTTAGGCGCTTTCCCCGGCTCGGTCGGCACGGCTCGAGAGCTACGGCTTGGTTATCAATCCGGCGAATATTTTTGGATTCGAATTACAGAAACGAAGGAGAGAAGTAGGAAAGAGGGAGGGAGAAGAGAAAATGAAAAGAAGTGATTACAGATTACAGAAAGATTAAAAGCAAAGGTTTCCACCCACCACCGGCCATCATGAAACTATTTCAATCTATATGACCAACTTGTTGCCAAAGAATTGAGTATTCTCCCGTTAATCGCATCTCCATCTTGTGGCGTTGCATCTTCCCGACCGTGAGCCCACTGTGCACCTCCGTCGGATAATTGATCGTCAAACATCTAGGCCTCGTCAATGACGCAGTGTAAATGCTAGTAGCAAAGGGATCCCTGGCCCTGCATAGCTAACTGGCAATCCACACACCTAGTTAGTGCGTATAATCTGCTTGGTATTGATGGCGCACATGAGCTTTTCTCAAGTTGACGTTGAAGCTGGAGCAGACAGTAGGCGAGCTGTAAAGGCCTGTCTACTCAGAATCTCCTCAGATCGAGAATAAATAAAATCAATATCTTATTTGTCCCTGCTTTAATAGTGCCATATATCGATTGACCAAATGCCTCGTTTCACAACAAAAATCTAAGAGAAAGGTAAGAAAATAAGAAGATGATACGAATGTCGGTGTTGACGTGGCGTGAGTCTCAGGAGCTCAGCCCACAAAAAGGAATCAACTCCACCGATTTGCGCTATTCTATTGTGTTCCGCAGTAGGTGGAGAATAGTTGATGATTGATTGCATTGTTAATATTATGGATTGCCTGGCCTGACCCTGAGGGACATACACGTTGTATGACAAAAAGAAACAATAGTAACGCGGTTCGGATGTCAATACTGAGAACCCATCAGGGCTTCGTAGCTGGGGGCCTTCGGCCTGCAGTTTTAGACTAGACAACCATTCCGTACCGTTTTCTTCAATACTCCCTCCTCGGGCATTATTCTAACTATGTCGAGATCGAAACAATAATGTAGCCTAGGGAATCCACTCGCTTGAAGGGCTTTTTATCTTTCATTATAAGTTAAATCGCAGTTGCTGAAGCGGTGAAAAGGCACCACAACACAACGAACCCAAAAACAACACCAAGGCGAGCCGCAGGCGAGCCTTACAGAGTACGGGTACAGGATTCCATAGCCAGGTAGTCAAAACAACAAAGAAAAAGGCACTACTGCGTGCACTGGTCCGGGGATCTCAATTCATGGTAAAAAGATGTGATTTCTAAGGAGTGGCTAGAAAAGAAGGAAAGAGCGATGCCGGCCCCCTGATCCGGCCCACCCTATATGAAGTGGGCAGGCCAAGAAAAAAAGGAAAAAAAGTACACTAGATTATATTGGGTAAGGGTGTAAACAGCCCCCTTGTTACCCGGCCCCTGAACCACTGATCATTGCCACAAATCTCCTACCTTGAAACTTAGATTATCATATCACAGCTCGCACCGCTCTCAAAGCTTTCACTCTCCCCCTTATCTCAAATTCCGAGCCTCTTGCTTCCATCACTTTACAAGCTCGCACGCTCACATACTACCATCTGCCAACAACACGGCTCCAACATGAGCACTACCGTAAGTCATGCCCTCAGCCGGTGCGGCAACTGCGGCGCACAGGATGGAAAGCTCGAGGAGTACCGCCGCTGCCACTCTGTGGTATACTGCGACACGCCTGCGACGTGCGCCCAGCAAGACGAGATCAGCCACGCATATTTTTGCGAAGGCTTTGGATACGTCGACTTTTGGAACCAACCCGGGCCGCGGCGCACGCCAACCTCGAGCCGCTCTACCGGGACCTTGTAAGGATCTGGCACGAAAAGGCCGTGAGGGCTGTAAACCAGGCGACCAGCGAGCAAGGCAACAGCGACTTACATGTCACGCAGCAGGATTTACGGACACTATTCTTCGGCCGGATCCTCGGTAATTATTAGGGGAAGATTAGGTATACACCATGCAGCAAACGATGAGTTCTTATGCCTTCAACGTGGTCTCTTACGTCTTTGTTCTTATAACTGCCAAGATGATTCCTATTCATATTTCTACGTTCCTCCATGATTGTCTACTAGCTAACTCGCAACAATGACTTGGTTTCGTTTGGGTTTCGGATGCTTATCGGTCCAGTCACAGGGTGTTGCTTGTGGGTTAATCACAGATGCGGTTGTCTCACTGACAGTTGTCTCATCAAATGACTCCTTACCATGTAACTCCCATGACTATGAGCATCACAAAAGACTGCGAACAAGGCCGGTCACCAAGATAAGCCATAACGGGTTGTTCGCGCCTTTGATACTCGACTAATTGTGGCAATGTATACACGACCAAGTCAGTCTACCGTCAGTTCCCAAAGTATAAAACCCACAAACACCACTCGAGAGGTCTCCTTTGCAAGCCCACGCACAAACTACCTACCGAACAGTCTCTGGTTCGATATTATTCTATCGCCCGAGTACCAAAATCTAACTACCTAATTACTAGCTACCGCCACTCCTCCCTGAGTCCCTTGTTCTTCCCAAATGTCCGGCTACGATACCAACCCTCTGGGGATGTGCGGCCACTGCGCGACTCCGGCCAGCCTGAGACCGCTGCGCGCGTGCGAGTTCTGCGGAGCCATCGCGTACTGCAGCGGGCTGTGCAGCAACCTCGACAGCCGCACGCACGACGTATTCTGCCGCATTCCCGAGCTGGCCCAGCAGCGGGGGCCGCGCGACGAGAGCTACCGAGCAGTCATATTCCCCGAGCAGGGCGGTGTGCCGTACTTTGTCTGGCTCCCGCGGCGCCGCGGCGGCCTCTACGACCTCACCGCGTACGGCCTAGACGCCGACAACTGCACGATCGAGCTGGTCGAGAACCTCTCCTTCCCCCATCTAACTACCACAGACCGCCAGCTCGCCACGCAGCCGCTTTCGCTCGCCTACCCCCGCGACCAAGAGAGCGAGGCGACACGCCGGCGCTACGGGCGGAACCAGTCGATCCGCTTCGACGGCGTCGGCTGCGTGTGCTTCGACTGGCGCGGCCCCGTGGTCCTGTTCGGCGCGCGCGGCGACGTGTGCCTGCGTGACCTTCGCTTCGCGCTCGACTACATCCACGCGCACCAGTACAACCTGGGGCTGATGGACCCGGCGCGGTTCCACGGCGAGAAGTTCGGCCCTCTGACGCTGCTGGTCTCGTCGCAGCAGCGGCGCGAGTACGTGCTGCGCAACACCGGCAGGGAGCCGCCGCGGGACGACGCCGAGTCCGTCTTCCTGTCGCGCGCCATGTGGGACAGCGTGCAGCGGATGGCCCGGCCCATCGACCTCGGCGCCCGCGGCGGCACGGATCTAGCCTACTACCGCATCGACCCGCACGACGCGTCGCTGAACGCCCACGGGCTCGTCGTGGCCCTCTCGGATCTCGTGCGCCGTGACGTGGCCAGCATCGACGTGCAGATCGTCAGGGGGTGGCTGCGGCACGGCGCGTACGAAGGCGCCGTGGTCGTCTTTAGGCATGGCGAGGTTCAGCTGCCGGTCAATGACGGCGCTGCCGTTGTCTTGAGGCACGATGCAGTCCCGCTGCCCGCCGATGAGTTTTTGGCGTGGCACGACAACGCCGCGCGCGTCCTACGTGCCATAGCCCAGGAGGAACCGACCATCACGCGACAGGCTCTACGGGCCAACGCGAGAAGATTTTTTGATATTAGACGGTGATGAGATACGCTGCTGTGGGCGCTCGCAGGTGTTTGGAGATTTGGAACTAATTATGTGGACATGTGGTAGGTGTGGGACGAATACTGAGAGTTGTGGGAGGTCTCAGGGGTGAGTACCATCGTAGGTACCTACTCGTGGTCTCGTAGTCTCGTAGTACCAGTCGGCCGGGCTGGTGTACAAACGCTTGTATTTGCTATTCAAGATATGTATCACGATAAGAAAACCACCAACATGTTGAGAGGATCATTTAGTTTGCGCGCTGTGTTTTGTGAGTTTGATCATCAGCAACGTTCCATGAAAAGACTGGAGAAAGGTGCATTTTTGTGTCACCTAATACAACTGGAAGCACATAGCCACGTCCACCGTAAATGTTTCCATCCTAAATCCCTTGACGTTTATATCTTGTCTGAGTTTTGAACAAGAGAGCGTGTGTTATTCGTCAGGTAGGCCAGCAACAATCACGTACCCTTTTCGCTCTCTTTAGTTCCACTCAGACCCCCGGATCAAACAATTGCCAAATCCTTGTCAAGGCGAACCATTTTGGAGTTGAGTCGCCAGCAAAAAGAAAAATTAAACCGAAAGGACCGTGCAACAGCAAGAACAGCAAAAGGAAAGCCAAATAAATTCCCACATCCAGAGTCGAACTGAAGACCTCGTCATGTCGAATCTTGAGATTCAAGGGTAACTAGTGACGCGGTGAATCGTGACGCGCTCTACCACTGAGCTATGCGGGCTTATCCTGGTTGTTGTACGGATGCATCCCCTTCCCAACTAATAACACCGCGAGTCACAATCTTTCCAACTCGTCAATAACGGTACAGCCGCAGTTCCTGTATCCCGCCAAGCAGACTCAAGCAGGCGTAAAGCTGTCGGGGCCGCCCATCTTAACCACTTCAACGGTATCCTTGCCCTTTGCCTCTTCTTCTTTGAGCCTCTTCTGACGCTCAGCGCGGCCCTCGCTGGTGGGATCAAAATACGCTGCCATACCATGTTTTCAGCTTCGGAGCAAATCTAAGAAAGAAAAATGATGAACGTCTAGTCGGGACAACTCACGCTTCTCTCCAAAGACGGTCGTCCGGATGCCCCTACGCGGCGCCTCGTACGTCCCGGGAATCACGCGGTGGTTCGTGCATCTTTTGCACGTCAGCTTCAAGTCTCGCGAACCACACACAATCCGCTACTAAATAGAAAGCAAAAAACTCGCCTGTTGTCCCACATGGCGACACCACCAACCGACCATTTCCAGCGGACGGCGTGGTCGTCGGCTGAATGAATGTGGTAAGCGAAAAGGTCGAGCAGCTTGTCCGACTCGTACTTTTTGAGCTCGGCGAAGCCCGTCACGAAGCCCGGGTTGACGTTGAGCGCCTTGAGCCCCGTCACCGGATGGCTTCTCACGGCCGGGTGGTGCGAGTCGACGGGGGCGCGGTTGGGACCAGTGCCCCAGAGATCGAGAATCGTGTCGTACTGCAGACGAGACGTGTGCACCGCGTGCAGGCCATCCACAAACTTCCTATCGCGAGTCAGAAATGGGCTAATTCAACTACATGCATACCCTAGCTGCTACCAAAGAGACTCACTTCATGGCGTCGCTCAGAGCGTCATAAAGGCCGTAGGTCGACACCCAGGCCGTATCGCCGCCGACGGCTGGGTGCTCTTCCATGCGCAGCATCGAGTACGACGGCGGGTTGATCTCGAAGGACGTGTCGGCGTGGAAGTCGCCCGACGGCCAAGGCGTGTACTTGAGCAGCTCGCGGTGGTCCTCGCGGCTGCCGCGGATGACGACGTGCTGCGTGTCCTTCTGCGCTGGGTGCCGGTCCAGGATGCCGTAGTGCCCAAACAGCTCGACCTGGCCCTCGGTCGTCAGGTCTTGGTCGCGGAAGAAGACGACGCCGCGCTCGGTGACGAGTAGGGCCAGCTCGTCCAGCTGGGCTCCGTTGAGCTGCGACAGCTGCACATCTTCGAGGACAGTCCCGACAGACTCAGTCAGATCGACGCGCTTAGCTACTGCAAACAGTGCCTTCTTCTCAGGGTCTGCGAACAACGCTCGGTCTTTCTCGGGGACGATCTCGGTGCGAGGCGGCTCGGGGGGCGAGTGTTGCCTGATCTTGGGGTTGAAGCTGGGGTGGAGCGTGATGGGAAACCCTGAGTCAGGCGAGACGTGCTTCCGAGCTTCGAGGTGAGCCATGCTGCAGGTATGGTTCGGTTAAATATTAGTACGTTATCGACGATGTTGTTGCCCAATCAAAGTGTCTTCGCGAATCCAATCTCACGGGCCTCAACTTGCCTCTTATTTTGTTTATGAGTCGGCGCAACCACGATTAGTTGTCATATTTACCCCTCAACCTTCGACTACACAAATCTCAAGCGTCCAATCTTGGCAGCGACACATTAACGGTTACTGGTGGCGCCATCCGCCGCCAGGATGAGAACACGGCGCGTCCAGTTGTACTGTACGTCTTGGTCATGGACTAGTCCAGATACCGTGCTGAATCTCACTAACCCCCACAATCCCACTAAAAACAGCCGTGGTTAGTTCCATTGTAATTTGTAGACAGTTCATGTCGTGCCACTCGGCGGGAATTGCGTCAACCGGCCAACACCCAAAGCTCGAGCATTCCCCGCCAATACTGCAGTTTGGTGGAAGTAGTTGGGTACGAGGGTTCCTAGAAGGCACCGTCAGCGACTAGGACTGCTTCGGGGATGGCATCCATCATCAAATCACCCAGTTTCTAATTAAGCACACGGTTTGGGGGTATAAGTAGGTAAGTTTTGTCGCAGTGCAAAAATTAGATGGTTATCCAAAATTCAACAGGCGTGCGGAACGTATTGATAGATACCGAATGTAGTGAGTGTAATTGACGTCGCATGTCCAAAAGGGGAGGGAAATAAGGATAAATTAGAGATGATGATGGTAGGTGGGTAAATATGAGATGATAATACAAAAAGTCGGAGTAGCAAATAACGTTACCAAAAAATAAGGGCTCTTCAATTGAACGTGCAGTGCATCTAAACAATGATCTCAGCCACATTTACTGGTACGCTGCGCACCTTCCAGATTCTCCTTAGGGACCTCGAAGCGGTAAATCCTCTCGCCCGAATAGTTGCCCTATCCCACCATTGGGACCAGTAGTGGACCTTCCCACCTGGATTCGAACTCTGGCATGCTGCACCCTCGAGTGGAACGCTCGTCAGCGCCATCACTGGCCGCATGCACCCAATTTCGGAACTAATTATTAGAAGAGAGGGGTAGCCCCACTTATATACGACACCTCTTTCGGACGATTTCTTCAGACGATCGCCTAGACTCAACATTTGAAACATAATTAGGAACTCACTGCTGGTCGTGGCTTCAAGATTTTTCAACTCAGGTCTAAGTATCCTCAAAACTTAAAATTGTTTTTCGATTTTTTTTTTTTCGATACTAATCCCATTTCCGATACACTGCAGACGACAACTGCCACAACCTCCGACAAAGCCCATCATCCTAGTTTGGTGAGAAAGTTAACTCGTTTATCAACGGCAGCCATCCTTGCCAAAACACAATATTTATTCTTAGATATCCTTCCAAGTAACTAAAAATAATTTGATACCTACATTGTTATTCTTTTCCAGAAGAGAAGAAAACCGGTATCCTCTACCCCAAAACACTCATCCTTAAAAAAGGGGCTAAAAAAGTAAAAACAAACAGCGAGTTCTCATAGTCCTCCGCAAAAGCAGACGACATCGAGCCGCAGAGAATATCGTCGCTCTATTTCATTACCTAATACCTTGAGCGCAGTCGCAGGTTCCGTAGAGCCAGGTGGTTCTCCCCCAGCTCTGTCCATTGCGGTATGTGGCCGTCGGCACCGAAAAGTGGGCAGAAGTTACGGTTGAACATAAAGTAGTCTCTTATCATATTGCACACAAAGCACCGCCAGAGGTCGATGTCGTAGAAACACATTGTGATGCTTTTTTTCCCTTTTTGCGGGGTTAGTTCTTGCCGTAGTTGGTGTTGGTAATTATCTGCCCCGATGTCCCCGTACGCTGGCTATTGAGGCTGTGAAGAGAGTTGGTTGTGAATCAAGGGTAGTAATGTGATATCACGAGAAGATAAGATCTGTTGAGAGTTAAGAGTGTGGAAGAGGGTTGAAGAAGCGTTGTATTGTAGATAAAAGAAGAGAAGGGACGAGATCTATTAATACGAGTGTGATAGGAAGGGGAGCATAGTTCCTACGCTATATAAGATAGCTTAACTGGTAACTATAACCAAACTCTTGCAATGTGTATCAGCGGTTCAACCGTGAGGAATAAGACTCATCATAGGCACGCACAGCGTGTTTGTCGAGTGGACAGTAACTAACTAGGAGTCACAGCGCCCCGCCCGAGTAACAAGTAACAATACCACGATTAGATTTCTGGCCAAATATCGCCATGTAGCAGGATGTTATTATTATTGCAATGCGAGCAAGTGTTAATGAGAAACTTGCCGTGCGGCCAAACACAGTTCTGGTTCCGAAACCTACTCCCAGACTCAGCGAATTTTACCATGAGTCTCAGCCTTCCACCAGTTGCTGTAGAGGCAAACGACACACCAGCTAACACAAGACCAAGTAGCTCCACGGCGATGACGGAGTACGCTCTTTCCTCCACCCGCTCCTCCCCCTTGGCTGAGTATCCCCCCTGTAACCAGTTCTAACTCTCCCCACTGTCAAAAACGGTCCAGGCAAGCAGCGACCCCGAGGCGCACATGGCGGCCAATACCGAATTCATGACCCAGTAGCCGGCAGCCTCCCGCAAGGCGGCGCCTGTGTAGTTGCCGATCATAAGACCCAGGCTCGCGATGAGTGTGTTGAGGCCGAATGTCTGGCCAAAGGCGCTGCGGCTACCAAAGCGGGCGGGGTTGTGGCGGACGGCGCTGTTGACGCGCTGCATAGACTTGATCATTGACGGCGTCTGAGCAAGAGGGACGCAGCAGCCCTGGACGAGGAGGGAGACGCAGAAAAAGGAAAAGGCGGCCACACCAGACAAGAGGCCGCTCGACGGTAGCACCATGAGGGCCAGCGCGGGCCCGTAGATGGCATACCCAGTTATGGCAATCCGCCTCGGGCCGAAGCGGTCCACGGCCCACCCGGCCATCGGGCCCAGCACCAGAGACGGCAGGGATAGTGCGAGGTACACGGCACCGACTTGTTCCGCCGTGAGATTGAACTCGGTCACAGCCTGGATGGTAAGCGTCGCGTCATATGCCCCAAATATAATGAACTGCACAAGGCTGAGCCAGATTGCTACCAACAGTTGCGGGTCGGAGAGGCAGAAAAGAATGGGCAGAATGAAAGGCTTTTTTTTCGTCTCGCCCTCGGTGCCTATGCCCGGCTCCCCTGTCAGCGTGGCGTTGTCTCCATCGCTAGTTGGTTGCTGCTCTGCTACCGCTGAGGAGGAAGGCCGAGAAGGGGAGGAGGATTCCGGGAGAAGTCGGTCCGTCTCGGTGGGTTCGTGTCCATTGCCATTGGCATCGCCGATGTCTTTGGGTGCCACGGTGCCCTCTTCGATGCCCCCAGCGTTCTTGTTTGTACTTCCACCCTCGGGCATCACCGCCGACATAGCTCCCGGTCGGCGTGGTTTGTCGACCATAAACAGCCGCAGAATAAAGTCGATAGCCAACACGCCCAGGCTGACGTTGAGGATACCCTGGAACCCCCAGCGCGAGAAGATTAGTCCACCGACTGGGGGGCCGCATAGTTGTCCAACGGAGACC